TTTTTTTTTTCGTTTCCCCCCTGCTTTTTTTTTTTTTTTTTTTTTTTTTGTACAATTTGTATTTGGGCATTTTCTTCTATTTACTGGCTCTGCTCTGCTTCTTGGCCCATTATTAAGTGTGTGTGAGTGTGTGTGTGCTTCGCGTTAACCTTGGCCCAAAAGCATTTAAAGCGTGCCAAGTGCCAGCAAGACGAGCAGCGAAGCCAAACTGGACACGGCGGCACACATTACGGCCTGGCCCACATTTGAAATGCGCCAACTGGCAACTGAAGTGCCCCAGCCCCAAATGAAGCTGCCAGCGCATCCAAATCCGAGGAGCTGCGTCGAGCCTTCATCGCCAGCTTTCAAGTACTTTTTCATTGACGCATGTGTGTGTGTGTGTGTGTGTGTGTGTGAATTCCTGGGCTTCGCTGCTCGCTGCTCGCCATTTCCTGTTGCTTCACGAAGCTGTTGCATTTTTTATGCCATTTCTTATTTCATTTTTATTTTTATGCTCTTTGCAAATTGTTGTTAGTGTTGTGCCCTCCACTGTACCGTATCAGCCTCTGGCTCTGCCGCTCACTCTCTCTCTCTCTCTCTCTCTCGCTGCCTCTGCTCCTTTGTGCTTCCACTTGCACACAAGTTTATCATATTGTCTTCTGCCAGTTTTTTGTTTTGGTTTGTGCCTAGCATTGTTTGTTTGCTTTCATTTTTTGATACCCTACACTTTGCCCGCTTATACACTTAAAAAGCTGTGCAAAAGAAAGATAAGCAGCTTATGCTGTTGGGCTAACTTCAGTTCAAAAATAGTGTCCTACTCCCGGATAACAGAGATGCCAATCGAACTTGGCATCTGTATTGAGTATCTATGTCGCTATAGTTGCCTCTGCAAGTGTATTTCAAATTCGCTTCTTTATTCTTTTTGCAACTTCTCCTTTTGTTCTCTCTTCTTTTTGTGCATCTGGCATTCTTGTGATTGTCCCAAGCTGAGAGCCAAAATGTTTTTCGGCATTCGCATGCCTCCAACATTTGTGCAGGGCTTTATTTTCCTGTTTGCCGGCAACATTGCCAAAGCAATAACCAAAAAAAAAGAAGGTATATATATGTATGTATATAATACTCGAATGTATTTTTAGTGTGCTGCTAAATATCTAAATATATGCGCGTTGCGGGCGAGCACCTGAACGCGCGTAGCCTGGCAAGAAATGTGCCGTCGTCTACTTTTTTATTTATGAGCCACCGAAAGCAACGACGTGTTCGCCATTTGGCTATGGACGGACCGACAAACCGACGGACCTCTCTCTATCATTGCCTACATGTAAGGGAGGAGGGCAGCAGGAGGAGGAGTTGCCACTGCTGAAGGTCATTTCGAGTTTTTGGGGAGCTGTTGCCTTCCAGCGGCGACACTCAAATCGATTTTGTTGTTGTTGTTGTTGTTGTTGTTTTTCTTTTTTGACTACCTGGAAGCCGCGTAAGCTTTGGACACACTCTGACGACTTATGAATATGGAATGCATATGCCTGGGCTACACGGCCAACAAGAGCAACAACAGCAGCGCTAAATGTGCTTTTGATTGACAAAACTGTGGCAAGGACAACGCAGCGCATTGTAGCCGGCGACGTTAATTGAAGAGCCAAGGATTTGGGCATAAAGAGCGTGAAATCCACATTGAAGCTTCAATTCAATTCGACTGTGTTGTGCCATCTTTGTCCATAGCTGACAGCTCATTAATAAACGGATTTTAACCTACATATAAATATATATATGTATATATATATATATATATATATATATATATATATGTATATACGTATATATCTACAGCCATGAGCTGGAAAATTGTGTCTGGAGTCAGCTACTACGACTACTGCCACAACAATACTATCCGGGCCCTTTGTTGACGTCGCTAATCTAGTACATAAATCTACTGTTTTATTAACTCCACTTCAAGGCGATCAAATCAGACTTTGTGGGCCAGAGGAGGGGGAAACATCGTGTACTTAAGTGTGTGGGGAGTGTGGAATGGGGGAACGGGTGCGCTACTCTGCTCTGCTCCGCTGGTCGGTTCAAACAAAAGGGACAGCCCATTTCGCACTTATAATTAGAGTGTGTTTGCTAGCTGCCTTCGGACCAAGAAAGTGACATACATAAATACATACACACATAGACAGGCGAGTTGGTGAAATTTTCGAAACTGCTATGCTACTATTTCCATGTAAATTAGAGTACAAATAATAATAGTCTTAAGTATAGCTACAATAAATGAATAAATAAAGTCAGCCAAACCAATTTGCTGTCTTTACGATTCTTCATTTTATTTATTTTTACTTTCTATAAATACTAAAAAATTAATAAAAATAAAATAAGAATTAAAGAATAAATAGACATAAAAAAACGTAATATTCCAGAATTTAATTATTTTAATTTTTCTTAATTTTTTTATGGAAATTTAACTATGAAATTATTTAAATTTTGTTTAATTTTCTCTTATAAATTCCCACCATTTTTATTTTATTCAATTATTTATTTATATTTTTTCCAAGATTTCCGGTTTTCCTTTTGACTATTATAAAAATATTTTCTAAATTGTATTTCAGCATTTATGACTTTTAGGGAATTTAGAAACTTATTATTTGTTTACCTGTTCCCCCAGAGGGTCTTTCAATAGCACACATATTTTTTGTTATCAATCACAGCTTTGGATCTCGAATGGAATTCTTCGAGTAATTCGAAACTGTGTCGCTTATGCCTTATAAGCAGCATTGTTTATAGCAAGAAAGCCAATTTATAATATTTCACTTGAAATACAAGTAGAATTAATAATGCAAGAATTTTGCTAATGGGAGTTTCTCAAAAATTGTGCCTTTTCCTTGTTACAGTTAGCTTAAGGTTTTATGTGACAATTTCCAGGTACATGATAAGGCTAAATTCAACACGGGCAAGACTGTTCAGATAACGTAAATATTCATACATTTGCCATATATATGACATATGTATAGCCTTAATTGTAGTCGGAATAATGTAAAACTTTTAATATCCAGGCGCTAATTCATATGATGAGATGGCTAATTGATTTAATGCTTCCACTACTTTTTCATCTGGTAATAAATCAAATTACTACCTGACAGCTTTATACATTTTATTTTAATTATATTTTAGTGCTTTACGATTTCCAAATGAATTACTGGGAAATACACTACTTAAAAAATAGATATTCATATGCTACTAACCTTTGGTATTTCCAATTCAAGTCAATAGAGAAACCAGTTGTTTCTACTCCTCTAACTTTTCCAATTTCTTGGCACACAAAACACAAAACAATTTCGCGATTTCAATTTCTATTTTACCGGCAATCAGCAATTGGCAATTGGTAACTGACAATTGGCCGAAATGGAGCCCAAAAACACCCGAAATTCGAAATGCTCGCTCACGCAGTTAAATATTAAATATTGATGTTAGTTTAGGCCAAATGCAAAGATTTGGCCAATTAGCGTTGACTGAGCGAGAACTACTGAATTAGCCACACAAGAAGACGCCAAGTCGTTTATTTATTTATTCTTTTTTTTTCTCTCTTTTTTTTGGTGGGCAATTAATGAATTGAATGTGAAATGAATGCACTTGCCATGCCTTTTCGTTTAGTACAATTTTTGTTGTCGTTTTTAACGGCTCTTTTGAAGTTCGATTCGGTTCAGTTTTGTTTTGCTCGTTGGCCGCGCGCACGTTCGGCCACAGCGACTGTAAAATTGCGACTGTTCGCCAAGCAAACGTAAACGCAAACGCAAAGCCAACCCGAAATGGCAGACGAGAGCGCTAAGCCGATGCTCAAATACACTAACTAATCTGTGTGGTAAGTGAATAGATATACAGATACATATAATGTATATATATCTGAATGTGCAGCTATAAATATAATTCTGGTAATACAATTTCTAAGTAGAAAATATGAAAACAATTAGAATTCCCATTAATTTTATATAACTTGAATAAATATATATACAAGTTATAATTAATAATAAAATATTAATATTAATAATTATGTGTACAATTAATACTAAAATACTAAAAGTATATACTGGTATATACAGGTTATTTATTTATAATTAATTACAATACATTTTTAATATATGCCTTAAATTTATTTACATATAATTTATTCTAAATATATATAAAAAAAAAAATATATATATGTATTTAAAATATTTAACTGTGTACTTATATGAAATAAAATATATATTTTAAATTAATATACATATAATTTTTATTTATTACATTATTTTTTACATATTTATTTATATTTAATATTATTTTACTTTTATATACACACATTAATTTATATATAATTCACTAAAAATGCAAATTAAAATAAAATTAAGCTCAACTCAATGCAAGAGCTAGCAAATATATCGAGCGTATCAATACAGTGCTAATCAATAGTCTATATACACAACGTGCTCAATGAGCGCACTCACTCACACACACACACACACGCATAGACTCTCACATATGTTGTTCCCTCGTGTTACATACTTCGTCAGAGCTTCTGCATACCTTCGGCTAGGGCATAATCTAGCCGGCTCCAATGTCGACGTCGGCAGCATTGCTGCTGATGCTGAGCGCGCTCTCTCTCTGTCTCTCTCTCTCTCTTGCTCGCTGCTCAAATTTGCCGGCTTCGTTGCTTATCAACATGCTGCAGCTGCCTTTATTTTGTTTTTTGTTGTTTTGGTGATTTTTTTTGGCGCGCGCTTTCAAACAAAGTTGCAGGGCTCCAAACGCTTTTCTTCTTTTTCTTCGCTTTTGCTGTTAAACTTTTTGGTGTTATTCTGATTTTGGCATTTTAATTGGGACTGTGTGCGATTTTTAATTTATAGAGTTTATGTTTGTAGCTGCTGCTGCTGCTGCTGCTGCGTCTGTTGCTTATTTATAAACACATTAAAATTTATAGTGCTCGAACCATTTGTGGCAGATTTTTGCATGAGATCAGCAGCGGCTAATTTATGTGTTTGCATAGGCAACGTTGTCGTGCTGCTTGTTCTAATTTATGCTAAAAACAACAAATAGTTTATAAATTAGCCATAGTTACTTTCGCCAGCAGCAGAAACTTTCGTGGCCCAATAAATATAGCCAGAACTATTTTTAAATGCCAAACAAAATAAATTTCTATGCGATTTGTTCGCAGAGAGTTGAGTTCACTAACCAAATTTAACTTATCAAGAAACTGCTTTACAATCTTTGTTATCAAGCTAACAATTGAAATTGATTTATGTTGAGCTTACCTCGAATAAAACTTAATTTATTTACTTTGCTGGAGATTGCCAAACTTTACTTCAAGTTCAGCTCAACTAATTGCTGCAAAGCATCTCGCGCAACAATGTAAGCAAAAGCTTTAGCAACTTTTGCAACTTGTTGCTAAGAACTTGTTTCGAGCACTCAGGCATGGCGCAAACTAAGCCCAAAGAACAACAGGGGAGTATGTGTGCCAAGACTAGAGAAGAGGCAAAACGTTAAATAGCCAAGATAAATAATAAAATTTCTAGAAACTTTCAAATGTTGGAAATGTATGCAAATGCGGAAAAGAAGGAGAAGGAGGAGGAGGAGGAGAAATGGCAAGATGAATACATTAAAATAGACATTAATGTGACAATATGTATATATATTTAGCTTAGCATATAGCTATATATCTACATGAAGCGAGTGTTTCAATGAAATATAATACGCAAACAATTTTGATTGCTTACTCGAGCCTGACCCATTTAGCTCTATTGACAGAGACATTGAAGTGGCTGCTGCGTGGACAAGTGGATAAGTGGAAAGACTGGACATTTAAGTTCTGTGACAGCGGCAAGAATTCAATAAATATATATAAACATACATATACATATATATAACTACATAATCTGTTGCATTCACAAGTCGAAGCAGGCAGCGCAATTTGTAAGTTTGTTTACATTGTGCAACAATTACAATTGGCAACAATGTTGCAAGCATAAATGTTGCTCGAAAAAATGCCCAACGTTAAGTAAACAGAAACATTATATCTCTCTATATATGTATGTGTGGATGTTTTGCTTTTGAATTGTTGTACGAAATGTAAACAGAATATTATTATTAATAAGGCGTGGTTAATTGATGCCCCGCCCAGCCAACTAGTTGGCTGTAAAGAGCTGCTTAATCGAGCAAATTAAGAATGCAAAGCGAAATAGATGAATTTATGAATCAGTCAGGCGGCTGCTGCCATATATACAGGGTGTTCGAATGAATGGCAACGCTATAAATAAATATGACAACGATAAAACGTCATCGTAATCAGAACCTAAAACCGGTGGCCAGATGATGACGAGTAGTCAGTCCAGCAGACGCAGCAACATAGACCAGCATCACCAGCATCTGGGGCGTGGGCCGGCAGCTGGCATTGAGCATTGAGCAAATGGCGCCAACTTTAAAAATAACAAAATACACGCATTACACGATGTTCTAATGTATTCAACATTTGTTCAACTCAGCGAGAGATGAGCGAGCGATACAAATTACAATTTGATAGTTTTTTTTTCTTTTTATAATTTTGACTTTTTTAGTTCTGTTTCACTTTCCGGCAAGGCCAAGCGACGACGACAAGGGCAGGCCAATTAATGTCGAATATTTACATATGATATTAAAGAATCTGCTCTTGAACTTGCGCAACTGCCTAATTTATTACGAGCGAATGATTCTGTGTGGGAGCAGCCCACGCGTTGGTCCAGTCAAAAGGTCAGCTGTCACTGGGTCATATGTCATTCAAATGCTGAGCTGCTATCAATCAGAGACGAGACATGAAAGGAAAGCTGCACTGAGGCATACCTTCGATAAATCATCCGTGATCTTATGCTGAATGCCCATTAAAGTATGTTTTCATAATATCTCATTGGGGCTGGCAAACGTTTTACGTTTTTCGCACATAGCACGGGCCGGCAGGCGAACAGCCTGTGAAGCTCTGAAGAAACACATTGTATATCAGAAACTAAATTGAAATGGAATGCCTGAACAACATAAATAAACATGCATTCTAGTTTGCATGCGCGCATCAAGTTTAATGCGATACGCAAACTTGCACTTGTTGCTACACCACAGACATTCTATGCCACACCCACCCACACAGACACGCAGACCAGCAGACACGCCCACCCACATGTCCAGGCAGCTGATCAGATCTGCAGCGTGCTCCATTTACCCAGTCTGTGCGCATGCCAAATTGGCCAAAATGCGTGGCAGTCATAAATCGGCATATAAAATATGATTTAACTCAGTTTTCTGGAACAACGGGCAGCAACATGTGTGCGTCTACATTGTTTTAGCCAGCCGAAGGTCACGAATCGCATGCAGCGTTTCGTATTATCGTATTTTCGCATTTTATATTTCTTATTTTATATTTTGTATTCCCAGTGATTCAGCGTCTCACTGAGTAATAGAACTTTATGGCCAACAGATGATTAACACGACGAACAGCTAAAACCGAGTCTGTGTGCCAAAAATGAATGGCCCATAACATTTGGCGGCGTTCAGCGTTTAGCGTTTGTGCTGCATATTTGATAGTTCATTTATTTAATTAAAATTATGTTTGATAAGAGATATGCAGAGTTTCACTCGCTCGGAGCTCGGAGCTCGGAGCAGACGCGTCTAAAACGTCACTTAATTGGTTTTCGTTGTTGTTCGCCGATTGGCGCTAATTGAAGGCAACTTGTTGAGCGACTGACTAGCTTGGCCACAGTGAAGCCCACGATGCGAAGACCGCCGACTGCTGCAGACACCGCAAATGCCGGTGGCAGTCGTAAACAAACTTTGTCATTCGCTTCAAGTGGCCTTCACTGGTAAAAAAAAGTACAGAATTATGCGTGCAGGAGAGGGAAGGCGAGGTGCAGAGCCAAGTAGAGGCACTGCATCATGGTCTGGGCAAAGTCTCGCTGTCTAGCTCACTCAGTATGCTCCACTGCACTAATTGATTTTCAATATGTTTTTGGCATTCACTTGCAAGCCCGAGGCTTGAAAACTTTTTCAAAAATGATTGCATCAAGCTAAACGATTTAGTGTTATGAAATCAGTTTACAGTTTACAGTTTACAGTTTACTTGAGCCAGCCAGAATTTACAGCTACAATAAATATTGGACACACTGAAAGCGCTTTAATGAATTTTTCCGAATTTGTATACCCAATGAAGACATCAGCATTAATTGTTATCACTTAACACTGGGTTCAAGTTCAATTAGACGAAAAGATTAAAAACAAATGAGAAAATGAGAGTAAAATAGACTTCTTATGGCTGAACGGTTGCCAAGAGCTGAGCTGAGAAAGATTCAGAAATGTCAAGAGACTCTAATATAAATAAGATAAGATAATATGCGGAAGTTTTTCTTATCTACTCATATATCTAGGCTAAACGTGTGCCATATAAATATAAATTTGTGAATAATACATTAATGAATAATACGAAAATAGCTCACTGAAACTTAAACAAAAGCGAATAAAACGAATTTACATCCTGTGTGTGTCGGAATTGTTTCAACATCATGAAAGTGACTCAGCTTGGGATATATTTTTCAGCCACCCCATCAGAATTGTGCTCGCTTGAAGGTATACAAATTGAGCTGCTAAAACTTTCATTTGATTAGCTAATTAATCAACTATTTAGCTCATTAGTAAAATGAACTGACACATTGAGCAACAAAAACCGATACAGCTGCTATGCAAATTGGAAATTGGCCGCAAGCAATAACACGTATACGCCGCATTGGACAGGCCAACTCGAAAGTGCGCCGCCCCCGAGCCACCGCGCGCTCGCAGTGTGAGTGAAATTCAATTTGTCAAGCGGCAAACGAAAATTAGCTGCACTTCGTGCAAAATAATTGCGTTTTGCTGTCATCTCTGGCCTTTTTGGCGGCTCAAAGCCTGTGCGAGGCACATTAAAGATGCAAACGAAGTCTTTGCCGCAACCACAGCCACAGCCACAGCCAGAGCCACGAATCGTGTCAATGACACATTGTCCAAAAGCCAACAACAACATCAGCAATAACCACATTTGCACCACTAAAGCCATCAACAGCCAACGTAACTGTCAAAGCCGCATAGCAATCGTGGCCCAAAACTGCGCCTAGACTCTCTTCTTTTCAGTGGCTGTCTTGCCCACCTTCCACTTCTCCATCACGCCCATCCGCCCACCACCCGCGCTGTGGCTATTCGGCGGCAGCAACTGTAGTAATTCCATTGCCATTGCCATTCGCCCAAATGACTTGCCAATTCTTATGAATATTTAATTTTATGCTTATGCTCATGTTTGCCTTATGGTAATCAGAGATTTTGCCCAAAAATGAAAATGAAATTTTCATGTAAGTGTCGAAATGACGATTGGACGCACTGTGGCACAAAAGCATACGAATGAGGAGTGAATTTTGTAAGTGAATACAAAAAGAATTGCAAAATAAAATTGTAAATCCTGATTAATTGGTTGGGAATCATTGCTGGGTCTTCAGCACAGTGGGTCAAAGGAGTACGCATAAAGAGTGGAAAGAGATTGTAAAATATGAAAGTAATAAAATACAAAAATTGAGTTATGCGGTTTTTTTTATGGCTTAAACAAAGTTGGTAAGGCACAGTGGAGCAAAAGTATTTAAAAATATGCCAAATAATAATATTAATATTATGTTTTTTAAAATATTTCTGATTTATAATAGAACTATAAGTATTACAGTATTTTGAAACCTATAAGCTCTATTTATTAATATCATTTTTATTTTTGTATCCAACCCTCTTTTTGCTAATTTATAAATAAACCTTTCTCCATTTTTCGCACCACTGTGCACTCTGTTTATTTGAACATGTGAAGCATATATATCTGTGTATATATATTTTTGGGCTGCACTTTGGACTTTGGCGCTGTTATGCAAATGTTTAAAAGGTTGAAATTGGAGAAAAAGCATTTCATGCAGTCCGGGAACCGCTCTGGGAAGCACTGGCACAAGAAAGAGATAGGTATAGGAGAGAGTGTCCAATAAAAAGCGAATAAAAAGTTCAATTGTATCAATTTGGGCGGCAGCACATTTTTGTGCGAATATAAATTAAAAGCGCGGTGGCCGTCGAATTGGGGTTTTGTCTGTCAAGCGGGAGAGAGAGAGAGAGAGGGAGAGCAAGAGCTAGGCTCCCACACGAACAGGCGAACGAGCGGCCAGCTGGGGCAGAGCTCATCAATCATAGCCATCAATCAGACGTGAAGAGCAGGCGCAAGTGAAACGAAAAGAAAATCAACTTTGAAGTCGACGGCGCGCGCCATAAAATGCAAAACGACGAAGAGCCATTCCGTGTTCCATTCCAAATTGCCAATAGAACAGCACAGTCAAGTCAAAGAGATGTATGGGGCGACTGCGATGCAAGAGATTCCTTGTTCCCACAACAATTTACACAAATTGCAATGATCTCACACTAATTTCGAAAATTTCTTTCTATTATTGTCTTGCCAAGCATTTCTGACAATTCTGATTCACATCGAGAACTTATTATGAAATGCAGTACTATATTAACTAAAGGCACTTCTCGGGAAGTGGCCCAGTGCCAGAAGAATGCGCCAAAATAGCGGAAATGCAACAAAGCCAAATGCATTTCAGATGCTGCTCGAAAGGTTTCCTGCTAAAATTGTGCTTCATTTTATAATAATAATAAATTCATTTTATATTTTACATCAACAAATTTTCCCAGTTTCTTTAGAATACTAATTATTCAATGCTATACAAATTAACTACGCTTGGCTCTGACCTTTTTGACCTCAGTGCATGGTCATCTGAACTTTGAAGAGTTCTCGAAACTTTTGAAGGTTTCAGCAGTATCGAAATTTTGGTTTTCAGTTTTCCCAGAATTTTATAGGCAACCCAGGTCAGCCACCGCACAGCACTACCGAATGGCACGCCCCCATTTAATGCCGTCTGGGCGCTGTCTATGTCTGTGTCTGTCTGTGTGTGCGTGTGTGTGTGTGTATGTGTATGCAGTGCCGTGTGTGGTTTGGCAAGCGTGCAATTATGTGTTCATACGCTATTTTTAAGCGCTTACGGTGAAAGGTCTTTGGCAGTGTATCACAGCGGATAAACAAAGCGAAAGTGAGAACGAGAACGAGAATCAGAGAAAGTGAGAGTGTGAAAAGGAGAAACAGAAAGAGATAGAGAGAAGAGATTATGTAGCCAAATTACACGTTCTAGTCGCGCGACTGCCTCATGAGAGAAACCTAGCGACTTTTCACATTTTCTATTTGATGTTAATCTAAAGATCTGTTGATTGAAAAATGTTTAGCACATGTCACAATGATTATTGCTCGGCAGTTTCACACGTATTTCAAAAGATGTCAAGCATTAAATAAGACACGTCATTCGTATCATTAAGCCATTATTTCCGCCAATTCCAGAGGCCCAGTTGATACATTTTTTCATTTGTCATTTGTCAAGCGCCGAGATGCTGCTGTCTCCGACTGGAGCTATTCTTTGGCGACAGAAGACGCGCGAACGGCACATATATCGCATATCAAGTGACATTCAATGATTCTGGCTCTATCATTTGTGAAATGACATCATGAAGCAACTTGTGGTCATGCATATTTAGCGCCAGATCGCATTCAATGACGCCGTCGCAATTAATCACAATCGCTGTCTACCGCGAAACAACAAAAATGATATAAACATCAACGTCAATTGCAGTCGGCGAGCATTACCACCCACACACACACAGAGATAGATCGGGTGAATGATAGACTTAGAATGCACTGTCACAAGTAGAAATTTGTTTTATATTAGTAGTAGTTGTAGTAGTGGTAGTAGTAGTAATAGTAATAGTAGTGTGGGTGACAGAGCCGAGAGTCAATCACAATTGTTTGGCAATCCAGACCATTTAAAGGGACGAAGTTGGCTTAATTACAGTTATCACTTTATATCGAGAATCTTCTTCATTTAAGTCGCTATTCTAAATGCTTGTCCTTCTTGGTGCCGATGTACAATACCGACCAGGACTTGTCCGGCATATCGATGTCCAATTTTTTCGCGTTAACACTAGAAGACAAACTAGTTAAACGTTTTTCCTCCCACTCTCCATTATTGCAGTGCAGTGCACTCACCTGGTCTCAGAGTTCACCAAACGATGACGCTGATGCAATGGAATGCATGTCTGCTTCGGAGACGGCTTCAGGTCAAGGCTTATCTCACTAGTCAAAGAATTCATAACAGCAGCCGCTCCGTTTGTCTCAGAGCCTTCGCCTCCGCACTTTCCCACACCGAACTGTGAAGACATCTTCTGGGTAACACAATCGAACTCGAAACTAACCGAAAATCTCCTTTGAATTTCTTATTGCGTGTCCAAATTGTTGTTTTTCTTAAAATTTATATTCCTTCAACAAGACCAAAGTATTGAAAGCAACTAAACTAAAATGATTTTCAGCTATGAGTTGTGTGTGTTATGTTTTATTATTTGGTAGGAGAAACTAAAGCACAGCCTGCCAGGTGAGTTTGGAATGAGAATATTTCTGTGAACAAACTGAACTGAACTTCCTATCCACGACAAACATGAAATGAACTAAAATTCATTGGCTCCTCGATACGCCCAAAAGGCGCCGCCTAAAAGTATGCTGCAATATATTTATGCAAATGCTTAGCTCGGCGAAACGAATCGATTAAAATACTGAAAGAGAAACTGACGAGCTAGAGAGACAACTGAACACACATTGATATGTCTCTATATATGTATGTATGTATATCTCATGAGATAGCTTTCCGAGAGTGATTGATATGGCCCGCAAAAATTGCAAACGAGCTGCTACAACATGGAAAAATATATACAATATTTTATGGAATACAAATTGCAACCGATAACAACTTATATAAAATATGTAAAAACCATCAATATCATTTATAAATATATATATTTATGTGAAATTACAAATTTAAAATACATTGCTATTTAAAATAAGAATAAAATTCCTTTCCACAATTTGCTTCTAAAACGTAGTTCGCTAAAAATTTCATCAAAAATCGTTGCCAAAGGTAATTTCTAATGTATCAACACCTGTACGGCCAGAAGGTATTTGCCATTGTCGGTCATCCGGCTAATAATGCTGCCCGGCACGGCTATGGCGCGATTGCTGCCGTAGATGGCCTTCAGGCTTTGAATGGAGCGTAGGTTGTAGGCCTCGTTGGTTTGCACCATCAGGTACTCGATGATGGGCCGGCTTCTGGTGGGCCACAGGGCGACGGTGCTCACGATTTTGATGTCGTCGGGCCGAATGCTGGTTAGCCACAGCATGAAGATCTCCTGGTCGGTTGGGCAGCACGAGTGGCTTCTGCTCTTGGAAAGCTTCTCCGAGTCTCGAATGCTGAAGAGTTCAGTTGTCTGCAGTCGGGCTGTCATGATGAGCACTGGCAATAGATCGGGATATTTGTTGTTGTTCGGGTCGTAGAGCTTGTCCTTCACGAAGTAGACCATGTTGCATTTGGCCTGGTTCAGCATGGTGACGCGCGTGTCGAGAAAGAACGTCTTGGCCTTGCAGGGCTCGAGGCGCTCCATGGGCAGGGCGGGATGTTCGTGGGTGAGGTGATCACAGAAGTCCGAGATGAAGAACATACGCCGGCACTCCGAATCGGGACAGAATATGGGGGAGCGACAAATTTTGAGTGGGCGTGTTACATTCGGCTGCAGAACCTCGCGCTTAATGGACAACAGATTGATCAGCTCGTTGGGACTGCACGGCAGCGTGGAGAACTGGGCCGGCGGCGGATCCCGGTGCATCATCAGCTCGTCTGCGGTAAGGCTGTGCAGCAGCTTCTGTGGATCCTCCGGGAATCCTCGGAATCGTGCACGCTGCGCTGTGGACACCAGCATATGCAGTTTGCTCAACAAGCGCTTGGGCTTCAAATGGGGGTCATTCTCCATCTTGGGCAAAAAGATGTCCTGGAGCTCCTTAAGATTGCCGTTTTCCTTGGTTTCATAGTGCTCCGTACGTAACAACTTTTCGCTATGTGCCAAGTTCACGTAACTCTCCGTTGGCGGTGCGGTGGGCTCAGCTTTCAGCGGTTTCGGATTCTCCTGCTTGTCGGATTGCTGCGCTGTATGAGATTTCTCCTGCAGCGATTCCAGCATGTGATCCAGTCTCTCATCCAGAGCGTCGCCAATAGTTTTCTCCTTGTTGTCCGTGGACATGCTGAGCTCCGTGTCCGGCTCGATATATTTGCCGAAGTATGCACCACCGCGCTGTCGGTCGATAGCCGCCTGCGCAGTGATTCTCTTTTTGTTTCGTTCCTTATCGCGCTTAGACCTGAGCTCGTCCAGCTCCGCCTTCACGCGGTCGCACTCCTCCTCAACGCGCAGGCGTATCTGCTCCCACTCGCCAACCAATTGCTTCTTCTCGTTCAGCTTGTTGATTAGCTGAACATACGGCTCCCCCCGCTCCATTTTAATCATGTCCCTGTCCGCCTCCTCCATGGTCAGACGCTTGACTCGTCTAGCGGCTGCATTGAAAATTGGCTCCCTTACGTAGTCCAGCATTGTGGGTGGACTTTGGTTCTTGTCTGTCTTTTGTTCACTTTTGGCTAGGTCTTCGCGAACTTTATTTGTGCACCGCTGCAGCTTCTCATGAAAGGGATTAAGCAACTCCATCTCCTGCAGCTTGATTACTTCCCGTTTAGACTTGAACCTGATCGACGAGCGCGAGTCCCGGACGCCCGGTTTTCCAAGAAGGCGCTGACCGCCTTCCTCGCTGGAATCCCGGTCCCTTTTACTGGCCACGTGGCAGAATTCCGCACAGTGCTTCTTATGATGCGGCTCGTTTACAGCTGACTTGGAGCGATGGCGCGAGCCATGTTGATGACGACTGAAGCGCCTGTCGCGCTCCTCGCTGTGCGAGCGAAACGCGCGCTCCCCCAAGGAGTCGCGCAGCACCTGGGCAGGCAGCTTAGTCATTAGCTCCTCCCTTATTACTTTGCTTGCTTCCTGACGCAGATCGTGCTGCGTTGTCCAATTTCGTAGCGTGTCTCTTTCCTGGCTGTCCCTTGTCGTGGGCGACGCTTCGAGCATGTAGTTGACCAACGCTGATCTAGCGCTGCTATCGACGATCTTAAAGAAGAACCGCGTGGCCTCACACTCCGGGCACCAGTTCGATATGGCCTCGATGTTCGAGTTGTCCCTAAACCGGCGCCGGCTGCGAAACTCGAATTCCGTATTGCTGCCCAGCTCCGACTTCCTGAAGCCGCACACCGAACACGCATACATTTTTGTTTTCGATTTAATGATAATAAAAAACAGCTGGCCAAAAAATCAAAATGCGTATACTTTAAAATAAAATAAAAAAAAAATAAATATTTACAATAATTTATGCCAAACACGGATAACCCTACCTAACTGCTGTTCAAATCAAAGTGAAAAGCACAGCGCCTTAGTTCGAAACACATGTATACTAGGGTATTTAGCTTTGTGGCTCCACTCAAATTCCCGTTTGGAGCTGCAGCGCTAGGGTATTCCAATCTTCTTCATGTCTTCATTTCTTCTTGTTTGCTGAACAAATATAACACACATATGCAGATTGGCCTCTGGCCATGCAAGCCCATTCACCTGCGAGGTTCACCAAATGCTGGCCAACCCGTTGAGCCGCTGCGCACACTCAGACGTCACTCGGGGCCCACGTGCTGACCGTGAATTTTTACAGCTGCGACAAGGCAAAGGTAGTGCGAAAATAAGAAGAAGAAATAGAAAAAGACAACAAGAGAGAACGGGAGAGAGAGAGAGATATTAGAGACCTCAAGGTTAGATGTGGAGCCAGGCAATGCCCATGCTCCAGTTGTCATGCCGCCGGCCCGAAGATCTCGAGAGCCATTGAAATTGTCAAACGCCCCCCGTTAAGAGGCTGCACCGGCCAAAAATCGGCTTAGAGCCGCGTCCAATTGAGTTTCGGATCGATTCACTTGTTGCTCTGGTCAGTTTTGTATTTTATTTGTATTTTATTTTATTTTATTGTATTTTTCATTTTGTTGACTTTGTTCGGTGATTCAGCAACGTTTGAATGCTCGTTGATAAGATGCGCAAAAGTAAGATAAATAACGGAACATGGCATCGAGCCAAGTCAAATATTGAAACGCACTCACACTTTCGAAGGCCTAGCCGCTCACTGTATAAATACTCCAAGTGCCAGCTGGTCAGCCATCAAACGACTCTGTGCACTCAGACAATAGACAACATGGTAAGCGAAGCGTGCGCCAGCACCAATCTGAGCATCCGAAACGTAATCTAATGAGTGGACTTATCCCATTGCAGAGAACCGGCTACGTCTCTTTTGCCATTTGCGCCTGCTTGGCTTTGGCCGCTGCTGATGTCTCGCATCTGGCCAGCAGCTACCTGCCCCCGCCCAAGCCGGAGCAGGTCGAGCAGATGACCATCGAGCAGCACGAGCTGCGCGAGCTGCCCGAGCAGGTGGACTACCTGCGCGAGAATGAGCAGGGCGCCATGGAGAATGCGCCCAGCAGCCAGCTGACACCGCCAGCTATGCCACAGGCGGAGGAAATGCTCTCCACTCGCTATCTGCCGCCAGCTGAGCCAGCCATGCCCGCCCAGAGCTATCTGCCTCCTGCTGAGCCGACGGTGGCGTCAGCTGCGCCCGCCCTGCCCACCGCTGCTGCCATGCGCTATTTGCCACCCGCTCAGGCCGAGCCGGAGCCAATGATGCAGCCCGAAATGATGCAAGCCATGGAGTACTCTGCCCCCGCTGAGCCCCAGCCAGAAGCAGCACCTGCCATGCGCTACCTGCCACCCGTGCAGCAGGCCGAGCCAAATGCCTATCAGCAATACCAACAGCAAGAGCAGGAGCAAGAGCAGGAGCAGGAGCAGCAAATGCCCTACATTCTGGACGTGCAACAGCCAATGGCGCCGTCCGATGCCGAAACTCTTGCCCTTGAGCCGGAGCCCGCCCACGAGCTGCGCCAGGATGGCTATCATTACCGACACGCCGAGCAGGAGCAGCGCCTGAGGCACTAGAGAAGCCACTGAGTCATCGAATTGTTGTTAAATGTTAATTTAGTAATTAAAGCTTGAATAAAATGAGGGTTTACTAAACTCTTATCTCGGATCGTCATTGAGGTAAATCGTCGATAATTGGACATCGTCGCGGTTTGCTTGCCAACGATAGGGAATTAAAATACCTTGTTTGTCGCACCGGCCCTGGGCTAAGATTAGGGTTTGTGCACGACGATAGTGTTCAGAATGCGTATCTCGTCCTCGTACCGAAGCGAAGAGTCGTCATGCATCACCTCCACTCTGTGGATGGTGAACTCGACGTTGTGAATGGGCACATTCAGGGTGACCACGATGCAGTAGTGGAGCACATGCAGCTGATGCGTGCGCAGCATGTACGACGCCCCCTCCGTTTTGTTGAACAGCGGATGGTCCTTCGCCTGGCAGTCGTACATGAAGTAGCCGCCGCCCGCGCCCTCACAGAAACCGAATGCCAGCGAACGGCCCTGAGCCGATAGAATACCATACTTGTAGTGCTTAAAGAACTCGATGAGCGCATCGGCCAGGTTCATGTGATTGACGGTGGGTATGCGATAGAGTGTTCCGGTGCTCACGTGATTCATGTAGACAACAAACTTGATCGAGTCGAGGGCGCAATCGACGTCCAGGCCCTTCGGCCTCTTGCCTTTGCCCTTTGTGGATGGGATACTCTTGCGGAAGTACCTGTTGCCACTGATGACAATCCTGTCCAGCAGATGGTCGGTCCAGTCGATCAGATCAAATACGCTGGCCGCACAGCAGGCGACCACGTAGATGGCAAGATATTGATTGCAGCGTAGCCTTCTCTTCAAGAAGGTCCTCTCTGGCAGAATACTGCCCCATAGGGACCACAGGCGATCTTCAATCTCGACATCGTAGTTATTCAGCTTGCTCAGTGGCTCATCGCGATAGATTCCTGCCGTGTTACGTTCATATTTACGGCTCCAAGGTGGAATGCGTCCCTTCAAGTTCAGCCACTTGATTGACTCATTTTTGATTCGAAAAGCCATCGGAGCCCATACGCAACAGCGGCTGTCGATTCCAAGGATTAGATATACACACATACACCTCATCGAGTACCTTAGAGCAATACTTACCAGACTCGCACACGAGCAAGCTTTTTAAAAGATTTTGGGATTTTCACAAGTTAACAGATTTCGTATAGGACATTCTAAAAGAGTCAAACAGATTAGTGTTTGAGTTAAGGCAAACAGAGTACCTAGCAACGAGGATGAACTACGTACTCCATTGAATACTTATCAACTATGTAAATATGCAAACTAATCTCATATAAAAGACGAAATGGCATTAAAAATAATGAGAATAAGTCAGCAATTACTTCTTAAGTTAATCTTCATTTTTTATTAATTATAATCTCTAATACACAAAGAAATATTGACAGGGCATGGCTATGTATAGTAAGTAATGTAGTTGCATTAAGATTTTGTTAAGCAAACTTGATTTGCATTTCCTTTATAGGGATCTCCAAAAACTGTAGGTTCTATGTTCGATGCGAGCTCTGTTCAAAGAGATATACACGTCACGCCTTTTCGGTATGTTCGTGACCAAATATAGACAAACAATCAAGCATGATTCCGACTCTGCCCATGGGAGGATTGGGCCTTAGCTCTATTTAACAAATCTGTTTCTTACATAATACTGACATATAACAGCCCAATGCCTATCGCTATTGCTTCACTTTTTTATTGGTCTTCTGCAACGGCTCTGGCACCTCCTCCTCGCCCTCGCGCATCATCTCCACCTTGTGAATGCTAAACTTAACGTTGGTGATGGGCACATCCAGTGTGACTACGATGCAGTAGAGCAGCACCTGCAGATGCCGAGTGCGGAGCAGGTACGAGGCGCCCTGTTGCTTGGGGAACAGCGGTAGATCCTTCGCCTGGCAGTCGTACATGAAGTAACCCTCGCCCGGGTCCGGACAGAGGCCAATGGCCAGGGCACGCTTGCGCACCTTCACAATGCCGAATCGATAGTGCGCGAAGAAGTAGCTGAGTGCCTCGGAGAGGTTCATGCGATTGAAGGTGGGCACGCAATAGAGCTTTCCGTAGCAGACGTGCTCGATGTGAACCACAAACTTGATCGACTCCAGGGTGCAGTCAATGTTGAGGTTCTCCAGTGAGAACTCGTAGTCCTTCGCCTTTATTTGAGCACAACTCTCCTCGAAGTACTTGTTGCCATTCACAACGATCGTGTCCAGCAGTCGACCGCTCCAGTCCATCAGGTTGAACACGCTGGCCGCACAGCAGGCGACGACGTAGATGGCCAAGTATTGACGTCCACGAAACTTGCTCGGAAACACAGGCGCCTCGGGATGAAGACTGCCCCACAGAGACCAGAGACGATCCTCGATCTCTATATCAAACTCATTCAGTTTGCTCACCGGCTCCTCGCGGTAGTGGCCCGTCGTGTTGCGCTGATACCTTCGGCTCCACGCAGGCAAACAGCCCTCCAAGTTCTGCCAGCTTATTGACTCATTTTTCGCCTTGAAAGCCATTGCCACTGAATATTTATATGACACTCGCAACAGAATTAAATGCAATATTCAGTTCATTGCAGTTCTGGCATAGCTTACCGAAAAAAAAAGAAAAAAAATTAATAAAATGAAAAGCTGTACTTATCTAATTTAAACAAAGTCATAAAAATTTGTGTTGAGTTTTAAGGGACAGAGCTCCTCAATCATCAAAGATAGTGATCGATTCTTAACTTTAATTCCTTTGCGAGTCTCTACATGGAATGGAAGAAGTAGAAACATTGCCAGATTATAGATTATACCTGAGATATTCAATGATGTCTACAATGCCCATTCACATACTCTTTATCTGTATATGTAATATTAAGGATTAAAGATCTGATGCAAAACTGTGTTGTGGTTGTTCAGTTTATTGGAAAGCCGTTCTATAAAATTCAATGTATTTAATAATTACTTCTAAAACACAGATATAGTCGTCACTAACTACACTCGAAGACCGCCACTGCACTACAGCTCTACTGATCACCCTCCTCCTCCTCCTCTTCGTTCTCGACCGTAGCGCCCTCACGCAGCATCTCCACCTTGTGGATGCTAAAGTCAATGTTGTAGAAGGGCACATTCAGGGTTACGACGATGCAGTAGAGCAGCACCTGCAGATGCCGTGTGCGCAGCAGATATGAGGCGCCCTGCTGCTTGGGGAACAGCGGCTGATCCTTCTCCTGGCAGTCGTACATGAAGTATCCTCCGTCGTGGCCCGGACAGAAGCCAATGGCCAGAGCACGCTTACGCACCATCACCACGCCGAACTGGTAGTGACTGAAGAAGTAGATGAGCGCCTCGGAGAGGTTCATGCGATTGAAGGTGGGCACGCGGTAGAGCTTGCCATAGCAGACGTGCTCGATGTGAACCACGAAGTTGATTGTTTCGAGCGAGCAGTCAATGTTGAGGTTCTCCAAGGAGAACTCGTAGTCTTCCTGAGTGATTTGCGCAATGCTCTCTTGGAAGTATTTGTTGCCACTCACGACAATCGTGTCCAGCAGCTGGGCACTCCAGTCCATTAGGTTGTAGACGCTGGCCGCACAGCAGGCAACCACATAGATGGCCAGGTACTGACGGCCACGCAGCGAGTCTTCAAAGACCGGCGCCTCCGGATGCAGATTGCCCCACAGAGACCAGAGGCGGCCTTCGATCTCCACGTCGTACTTCTTCACCTTGCTCAGCGGCAGGTTGCGATACTTTCCAGCTGTGTTGCGACGGTTCATGCGGCTCCACACGGGCAGGCAGTTCTCCAGCTCCAGCCAGCCCAGGGACTCGTTGGTGGCACAGATCTCGTACTCCGGCCGTCCGTACTGGCGATTGGAGCAGGTCATGGGTATCGACAAATCGGTCAGCAGCTGTAGGATGCGTGCGTTGGGCGCTGCCTTCTTGTATGAGAGCACATCAACCACATAGAACATGTACTGGTTGCGCTCCTTCCAGTCCGGCTGGGAGCTACGCTTATCTATATACTTGAACATACTCTCCATGTCGGCAAAGAGTACCCAGGAGGCGGTGTTGCGCTCTGGGTAGCGTTTGGGTCCCTTCGGGCACTTCTTCTTCTTCTTCTTGTCGCCCTCTTCGCCGCCGGCGTCGGGCGCCTCCTCTTCCTCCTCCTCGCCCGGCTTGTCCATGCTCGCATACGGATCGAACAAATGATAGAACTCGTCGTGGTAAAGGGCAAAGCAACCGTTCGGCGTAAATATCATCAGATATTTGCGAGTGTTTAGCAATTTCTGCATCTTCTTCTTGATGGTGACCAGCGCTGCATCGGGAGACAGTGTAACTGGCTTCGGTGCCGGCGTCCACATGCCCAGCGGCTCCAGAATGCGGATCCAGATGTCGAACTCATACTCATCAATCGTTACGTGGCGCACCACACGCTCGAAAACGGACTCCAGATCACAGACGCGCGTCGCTATCGACTTGGCATGGGTGATCACTCGGTCGATGCGGTACGAGTTCCAGCGATTGAGTGGACGCAACGAGACGCTGAGTATGGCCAGGGCAGAGGCAAAGTAGCATGGCTTGATCTCCTTGAAGCTGCCGTCAGCGCGGCCCTCCAGGTTCATGCTGCCCTGGATCTTGAAGTTGCAGTCCTTTTCGCGCATGCGATAGCCATAGAGGATGGGACGCGGCTTGTAGGCCTTGCGCACCTCCTTGGGCAGATGCTTGCCGGGCTTGTGCTTCAGTTCCACCTCTTCTTCACCCTCGCCCTCCTCCTCCTCATCCATTTCCATGAGCTCCAGTTCTTCCTCGTCAACGCCCTCGTCGATACCCAGATCCTTATACTCGGCTGTGGGAGAGAGATGAAAGTTGTTTTAGTTATAAATTTTGACGGAAATGCGAAGGCCACTTACGTTTCTTGCCCTTCTTACGATCTTCGTGCTCCTGTTTGGCCTTCAGATAGTCCTGAATACGCTTATTCTCCTTCCTCAGCTCCTCGTCAATCACGCGCATCTTCTCCAGCCGCTGCTCCCGCATTTTGTCCTTGCGCGCCAGCTCGGCATTATACTCGGCATCCTCATCCGCCTTGTTCCAGCGTCGGAAATGGCCCTTGATATTATTATCCACAATCTTAATGGCAGCCACAATGTAGTTCATCACCGAGCAGCCCTGGGGATTGCAGCCGAACTCAATGCGACGGATCAGCGAATCGAGCTCGATGAAGCGCATCATGCAGGCCGGGCCTGCTCCGCCCTTGCGATAGCCCACCGCATTGCACGGGAAGCCAATGAACATGTACAGCAGATTGTAGCGCTTGAATATGACGCAGGAGAAGTGCTGGCAGACAACAAGCACCCGGTTATTGTCGATGAGCAGCTCGAGCAGATCTTGACGGAGCGACGATGAGACCGAGGACTTGTACACCTCGCTCACCACCAACGAGAAGTTGCTCTCGCCAACGGCAATGTCCGGCAGCTTCTTGTTCAGCAGGCAGGCGAGGATCAGCTCGTAGTTCTGATACTCCTCGCCAAACTTGTTAACCGAATAGATGCAGAACTCAACCAGCTCGGCGTTCCAGGTGGACACCTTGTACTTGGCGGAGACTGCGGTGGCCACTAGGGCAGCCAGCACACCGCCCAGCTTGGTCATTTCGGGATCCAGTTGAGGGAGCTTCGTGGTGCCCATTATGATGTAGGCGCCATCATGCAGCGTTTGGTAGTTGGACTTCAGCTCCAGCTCTTCCTCGATGGTCAGCACACGCTTCAGATCGACGGGCTCTTCCTCTTCCAGCTCGTAGCCGCGCTTGATCTTTAGACGCAGCGCACGCAGGTTCTCCTTGTCTGAGGCCAGGAGTACCTTTTGGGCCTGTCTGTACATATAGGGCCGCTCCAGTCTCTGCTCAGGTATTTCCTTAATAATCGAATTGATGATTTCCAGAATGAGTTCCTCGGCGAATTCTCGCTCCTCTTTGGTGGGAAATCGCTCCTCCTCCGGTATGCTCTCGATGCTCTGCTTTTGTGCCAGCGGCGCCTCTCCCGGCTCGTCGGTGAACGTGGGCAGACCCATTTGCATCGCCGGAAACTTGTTCGACTCCTGCGTCATCACCTGCAGCGGCCGTATGCAGCCCGTGCGAATGCCGTGAATGAAGAATTTACCACCTCGTCGCATCTTCAATGCGTTCTGATAAATGATACGCACAAAGGAATCGAATGTGGTGTGCATTTGCAGGACTGCCAGACCCTTGATACGATAATCATCGGGATCCACCACCATGCCGACGCGATTGCGTCGAAACGGATCGAAAGCATAGAAGAATTCACGGTCCCGCCACACGCCCAGCACGGAGTTGTCGATCTGCAGCAGGGCAGCTGGCCACTCCGGCATCTTGAACAGATTGTACAACGCGTGCGTCAGCTGCGATTCCAGGTACGTCTTGCAGTCGGTGACATGGCCGGTGATTAGGAAAGGCTTCTTGCGCACTGTGGCCTTGAATGCGCCCATCAGGAACATCTCCGGCAAGTCGACGACGTTCAGTTCGGGTTTCTTGTTCTTCCAGCGCTTGCCATCCAAGCGAAACTTCTTGCGCAGCGTCTTGTAGTAGGCAACGCCGTACCGAATGATGTCGTCAATGGTCATGGGGCGCCACACCTTGGCCAGCTCGAACTCCGAGTAGATCAGCGCAATGAGCGAGACAACGAGCGAGGCATTCTTCTCCTTGCCAGAGATGGGCTGCTGAATGCCGCTATTGCCGCCCGTCTTAACCGCAAAGTTCTCGTTAACCACGGCCCACAGCTTGTGGAAAGGCTGCGCCTTGCTCTTACCAATGATCGGCTCCTTCAGCTTGCCGTACTGACTCAGCGCTATCTCGTATATGCTAAACTCATCCTCGCCCGTCAAGTCGCTGAACTTGGTTATCAAGTGCACCAGATGCTCCATGAACCGTGTCGCCATCAGCGAGCACATGCCGTCCTCGAAGTCGCGCTGGCACAGCTCGTTGCGGCCATTCGGATCGAAGATGAAGAAGGAGTCGACGCAACGCTTCCAGATCAACAAGAACATGTCGCGCGAGACAAAGATGCAGGCGTTGTACCTGGAGAAGTACAGCGACAGCGCCTTATACAGATTGGGCTCATTCTTGAACAGGCCCGTGAAGTGGATCTTGATCTTGACAGCTGCCTGGCGCTCCATCACCTGGGGCAGTATATCAAAGTCGGTGTCCTCCGATTTGTAGTTGAGTGAGATGCTCTTCTTTGTCAGCTTTACGCCACGTTTCAGTATGCCGTCCATGGTGCCCGCCGTCCAGAAATCGGGATTCACTTGATAGGTCTCCACAAAGGCCACAATGATGCAGGCCACCTCGCTGGGTCGATTGTAAAAGCTGCAAAAGGTTCAGCGATTAGTAATGCCTCATTGGTAATCCTCACTGTCAGCTCACTTTGAACGATGTGGTTCCTTTTTGGGTTCAGGGTAAATGTTACGATTGCCAAACACAATCTCGGCTGTGAAGGTTTTCTCCAGCTGCGTAGGTATGTTATAGACGGTGAGTCCGACGTCGTGACCTGTTTTCGGACAGACCTGAAAACGATTAGTGGAGGTGCTCAGGCATTTGTCTGCTTCGGTAACCCACCATATTTGGGCAACGAAGCTGTTATGAAATCTTGATCCATTTCGATTTCACGCTTCTGCAAGCCCACATTCCAGGTCCACAGATCTTGGGGATTGCAGCCTTCGATAATGTCGTATGATCTCAGATTTTCACCCTCCAAGCTCTCTTGGATGACGCGCGGATCATATGTGGGAAACGGCAGCTCTTCCAAAGGTCCGACTTGTGTTTCATTCAAATAAATGCGACTCTTGGGACGTTTCAATTCAAGCTGAGGGCGAGCAATGGGATATAGAAATATATAAAAAGAGTTATTAGCTGATCGTATTCAGTGTATTAATATAATTTGAATGGGAATGTCTGCTCATCAAAGATTCTTGCTGCTTGTGGACAATGGAAGGCACTTGTAAGTGGCATTACGCATACGACACGTAGACGATGCGTCACTTGTACTTTCCGGCAACTTCACAAACAGACTTTACAGATAGACAATAAGAAGAAAAAACACATGGCGAAGCCATACAAATTAAACATGAAGACAGCTTTATGCACAGCCCGACAATTCGGGCCATATGTTAAGTTGTCGCAAATGCGTTGTGCTTTCGCCTGTCCGAGTCTTTCCTGTGCTGCTTCATAAGCTTTTTTATTTCGCCTGGCCCAAGCACACACACACACACAGACCCAGAGAGAAAGACACAGACACTCGCATATTTATGTGCGAGTTAATGCGACATTTCAAGTTGCAAAGCTGAAAATAGCACGCATACGCCATGGATGCCAGCATGAGCGCGCCTATAAATAAGTATGTATAAATTTATACACAGACACACATATGTACGTATAGATCTATCTGTATATGCGTAGCTGTACGTAAATAGAGCTAAATATGGTGGACAAGCCCAGAGCCATTCCATATCGCACTCAGCGCTATTGCGGTCGACTATGAAGTTAGTAAGCGGCATAAAGTAAGCACGAAATGCCAACTAGACTGGCTAACTATAGAGGCGACTGTCTGTTGTTCGTATTAGTGTGGTAGATCTGGCTGTGTGCGAGTGAGTGCTCGACTGCATGAGTGTGTGTGTGAGTGCCTCTATGGCTGGCTGGCCACGCTGACGGCCACAAAACAGCGCACAGAGCAGTAAACAGTGAACAGCGCTTAGTGCCACATCACGAATCTTATCGCAAGCGCACGAATGCCAGAAACAGCAGCAGCAACAACAACAACAAAAGCAACAACAACAGCAACTAAAAGCCAAAACCCGACAAACTCGAGCCGAGCGTAGGTCGGCTGCAGAACAAACAAGTCATCTAACAAATATACGAAAGAGTATATATGTATGTATATATAATATATATGTATAAGAGACAGCCAGCCAGCAGCAGCAACTAGCACTGGAATCGCTAGCTATAGCCAAACGAGCGAGCACTTATAGCATACGACGACGTCAATAAACACGAGTGCGACGTTGTGCGATACTAATACTAGCAACATCAGCAGCAACAGCAACAGCAACAGCCACAACAACGGCAACAACAACGCAACCCTCTCAACTTAAAACGCGGCTGACGCGAGTGCTGGCAAAATGTCAAACCAGGTACGTGTGGGCATGACGCAAGGGCATAGCGAACGGCACAGCTCAGAGCTGGCAGGCAGCAGGCAGCAGGCAGCAGGTGTTGCATGTGTTCTTATTGCATTTCATTTATTAATCGTGAGCACGCCAAGTCTATGTGCTTGATTGCACTTAAAAATCCCTTCTAAATAAATCAATTAAAATGCATAAAATCAATAAAATGCGAAGAGAACAGCCAGTGGCATATGAGTCGAAGCACGTGGCATGCAAACTCAAAAAACAAACACACACACAAACAGGCACATGTATGCATGTATGAGTGTGTTGTTTGCTTGGCTTGCCTGACAGCCTGTTTTCAAGTTCAGAAAGGAGCAAGAGACAGTGGCAACGGCAGCACCACGTCAGCACAGTCGCAGCTAAATCACATATAGACACATGTGTGCGTGTGTGTCTGTGAGTGTGTGCTGAGTATATGCACATGCCATTATGATGCTGAAGTTGCATAAAAGTCAAGCCAAACACACAAAAGAAGCCCACGGCATGCAATACAGACTTGAGGCCAGGTGTGTTTGCTACGGCCGCTGCTGGGCTGTTGGGTTTTTTCTTCTTCTTCTTTTTTCATTATTGCTTGCGAGCGACCAACAAACTTGGCAAGCGAACGAGCGGCCATAACAACGCACACAGAGTCAATCACACACACACACACACAGACATACACGCACACACATTGACGGACGCACAGGCA